ATAATTTGCATGGCTTGGAATAACTTGGAATTCCTAGGAATTCCCAATAATTCCCAGTCATACTTCCACTATTCCCAAATATTCTCAGAAATTCCAAGGTCTTCGATAAAGCATAATTTGCATGTCTTGGAATAACTTGGAATTCCTAAGAATTCCTAGGAATTCCTAGGAATTCCCAGACTACTGGGAATTTATTTTGCAGGGGATTAGAGCAAATTAAAGTTTGAAAGTTACTTCCATTCATTGAATGGGGAAATATCTATTTAATAATGTCAGAATACACCTACCCTCTAAGCCTTGTTCCATTTTCCAGGACTTTCTCTGTTCCACCTAACAGTAGACACAACACCGCTCTCTTGATGTACTCATGTCCGTGAATTGATGGTGCTAATGACTGGGCGAGGCTTTCAAACACATCCTATTAAGGAAACATATTTGAGAAATACATAACTGGCCTCTGAGTTCAAGGTTGATCACTTTTCTAGCAAGGTTTCTCCTCATGAGAGAAAGCTAAGTGGCTTTTAGAGTTCAGCAACATCAGGGTTGTAGCTAAGAAAATAGTAACAATACAGTCACTCTATTGTTATTTTATTTTTTGTACTGTATTGTAATTATGTCTTTTAAATGGCAAAAACCAAATAAAATTAAAAAAAAAAAAGCTAAGAATATAGTCTCCTGGCTAGGATTTTCATTGAACCGGTCACCATTTTGCTCAAGGGCTACCAAGCTTTATGTTTACAAGATGGTGGACACAGTACACAGAAGGAGAACACCCTAAAAAAAGTGCTCAAACAAGATTTTATTTCAATTACTTTACTCGTTTTAGTGCCACCAATACTCAAGATAGTTAGGAATTTATTCCAAACTTTTCATTTAGCTGGTTCGATATGGTTCAGATATTGAATGATTACAAGTACATGTATGTCCTTTACCAAGTGATGGCCTGCCAAAATCATTCCAGCCGGCGATCACCTCTTTCTCAGTCAGTGAATTTCACCGGTAGCTGGTGCAACATTGAGTAGACAGTAACAAAAGTAGAGTTCTTCTGTTAAAGGTTTGCCACAGCTAGTAGCAATAACAAAATCATACAATAACTGCAATAATGCTGTACCTTCTTGCGACGGCTGAATTTCTTGATGTTAGATACATCACTAGCGGAGAGATTTGGAGCAATTTCCTTACTCATTACGTGGATGTGATTTGCAATAAGAACCGTTCTGCAAAAAAGGGAAACAAAACAAAATCAAAGTAATGCATAGCAATGCCACAGCATTGTTTGAGCTTTAAAAGAGTTTACATAAACTCAAAAAATAATATATGCTATAGATGTGTTAATTCTTTGGTTTGAGAGCTGAAAAGATTCTATTAAGCAATTAGATTATGAGCTTGAAATTTCTATTGTCTGATAGTTGATGAGGGCGTCCAGCCCTCGTCAACTATCACACATAGAAATCGAGAGCAAATAATCTAATTGCTTTAGTAGAAATCTACTAGTCAATAATAAAGTGTATTATCGTTTGTCTCACGATGTAGTCACTTGAGATGTAGATCGCGACGTTTCGAC